ACATCTTGAGAATGCAGCTGGACTTGTGCAAGCTGCGATTGGGAAACACTCTGTGGTATACTAGATGCTGGAATTGCCGGAGGAGCGGTGCTGCTAAAATCCATCTGCTGCGGACCCACACCTTGGAAGGCTTGCTGCTGCACCACAGTAGGTGCTCCCATTTCTCCACTTCCCACACTTTCTGTATAGTGACTCAGTGTGCTTACATTGCTGCTAGCAGAACTCCCACTGGTGCTCTCCCTTTCAGAAGTCACTTCGAGCGGGTTTTGTTTTATCGTCTCTACTGCTTTGTTTACTGCTACTCCTTCTGAAACTGCAACAGTGTTCTCTTTATCATAGAATTCAGTGCATGTCCATCTACCTTTTTTGAAAGGTTCAGAACTAGAATCTAATTTTACTACCCTAAACCTGGACGTGCCAGAGGCAGGCTGCTGCTGGCTTGATCCCACTGCCATTCCTGCAGTTGGGTTAGTAATATTGTTAATGACACTAGAGGAAGCACTCGTACCATTGCCAACACCACTCAAGATATTCACATTAACATTGCTGCTAGTTCCAGACAAAGCATTTACATTACCAGTACTTGTGATGTTGCTTAAATTCATAGTACCAAGCACACTGCTCGCCACGCTAGAACTACCGCCACCCATATTATTTAAGGTACTAGTTCCAGCAGCAGGACTTACACCTAAATTGCCAGGAGTACTCGTAGTGCGGATATTAGACACAACAGACGCCGGGGAACCAGTGGATGATGCAGCAGAAACTGGTGCAGTTGATATAACATTGTCAGAGCTTCCAGTTGTTGATAGTTTTCTGAACGACGGACTAGGCGGTGGTCCTGCAGAAACTGGGGCGCTGCCCACCCCGGGATGAGATGGGTGATGGTGTCCGTGATGGTGGTGGTGGAGATGGTGGTGGTGGTGAACGTGATGGGGGTGAACACTTCCATTGATCACAACGCTCTGCTGTGGGTGATGAGGCAGAGGAGCGTGCTGCTGAGGAAGATGAGGCTGGTTTGGAGAAACAGCCCCAGGAGTCTCTGCCTCTTGGAAGTTATTTAAAGTCTCTTCGGAGGAGCTCCTCTCAGGTTCTCCCAAGTCAGTGGCCCTGGATAAAGAAACATCCAAGATTTCTGAAGACGACAGGTCTTCAGTGTGGGACTCGTCCAGGTCATCGTAGCTTTCTGTGTCCTCAGCTATGCTGTTATTGGAGCTCATACTAGCTGATATTTGAGCAGGGGTCACACTGGTAATCTGGAAGCCACTTTTCTTTTTCATTTGTGCCCCAGTCTGGGCAAGAGGCTGGGGCTGGAGCTGAGACTGCGAGAGG